GAAATTTATTGGATGTGTCAAACTTTTTTAACAAATAAAAAACTGAAAAGTGGGGCGTGCAATATTATTCGGCCCCTTTACTTTCAGTGCAGAAAACTCACTCCAGAAGTTCAGTGAGGATCTATGAATGATCCAATGTTGTCCCAAATGACTGATGATGATAAATAGAATCCACCTGTGTGTAATAAAGTCTTTGTATAAATGCACCTGCTCTGTGATAGTCTCTCAGGGTTCTGTTCAAAGTGCAGAGAGCATCATGAAGACCAAGGAGCACACCAGGCAGGTCCGAGATACTGTTGTGGAGAAGTTTAAAGCTGGATTTGGATACAAAAAAAATTCCCAAGCTTTAAACATCCCAAGGAGCACTGTGCAAGCAATCATATTGAAATGGAAGGAGTATCAGACCACTGCAAATCTACCAAGACCCGGCCGTCCCTCTAAACTTTCATCTGGAACAAGGAGAAGACTGATCAGAGATGCAGCCAAGAGGCCCATGATCACTCTGGATGAACTGCAGAGATCTACAGCTGAGGTGGGAGAGTTTGTCTATAGGACAACAATCAGTCTTACACTGCACAAATCTGGCCTTTATGGACGAGTGGCAAGAAGAAAGTCATTTCTCAAAGATATCCATAAAAAAGTGTCATTTAAAGTTTGCCACAAGCACCTGGGAGACACCAAACATGTGGAAGAAGGTGCTCTGGTCAGATGAAACCAAAATCGAACTGTTTGGCCACAATGCAAAACGATATGTTTGGCGTAAAAGCAACACAGCTCATCACCCTGAACACACCATCCCCACTGTCAAACATGGTGGTGGCAGCATCATGGTTTGGGCCTGCTTTTCATCAGCAGGGACAGGGAAGATGGTCAGAATTGATGGGAAGATGGATGGGGCCAAATACAGGACCATTATGGAAGAAAACCTGTTTGAGTCTGCAAGAGACCTGAGACTGGGACAGAGATTTATCTTCCAACAAGACAATGATCCAAAACATAAAGCCAAATCTACAATGGAATGGTTCACAAATAAACGTATCCAGGTGTTGGAATGGCCAAGTCAAAGTCCAGACCTGAATCCAATCGAGAATCTGTGGAAAGAGCTGAAGACTGCTGTTCACAAACACTCTCCATCCAACCTCACTGAGCTCGAGCTGTTTTGCAGGAAGAATGGGCAGAATTTCAGTCTCTCATGTGAAAAACTGATAGAGACATACCCCAAGAGACTTGCAGCTGGAACTGCAGCAAAAGGCGGCGCTACAAAGTATTAACACAAGGAGGCCGAATAATATTGCACGCCCCACTTTTCAGTTTTTTCTTTGTTAAAAAAGTTTGACATATCAAATAAATTTCATTCCACTTCACGATTGTGTCCCACTTGTTGTTGATTCTTCACAAAAAAATAAAATTTTATATCTTTATGTTTGAAGCCTGAAATGTGACAAAAGGTTGAAAAGTTCAAGGGGGCCGAATACTTTCGCAAGGCACTGTACAGTGTATAATAGGGATGCACAATATTGGATTTTTGGCCGATATTAGTTGGCCAATAACCGATGAAATACCAATATTTTAAACATAGCCCCCTTATTTAGGTTTATTTGCTACAAAAAATAGGTAACAGCTGTAAGAGCTGGTGACATTTTTAGTAACAGCATAGCACTTTAACTTATATTAAATGAAAAGTGTTAAATGGTATTTATTAGCATTAGTCATCTGCAGTGGAGGTTTGTTCCAGGTTCCTAGCTGCAGTGTTTCATCCTCTGCACTCCTGTGCATGAAGGACAGCTTTTGATGTTCAAAGTTTTTGTCTATCTATTGTGCCGTAAGACTAATCATGCTAACATGGCTAACACTTGACATCCAAATGACTGTGGTAAAACTCACCCAAGTGCTATCAGCTATTAGGTGCTATCGACTATTAGCTTCTCAATGACGTCAGAAATTACGGCTTGTAACTCTGGTAAAGTTACGTCGGGAAACTATCTCCGACTGGGGACGATGTAGCGAGGCTCAATGTAGTCCAAAAATTTTCGGAATCCAATATCCTCAGCGAGAAAAAATCTTCCACACATTTTGACTTCTTCCTCTCCACAGTGAGATCAGGTAGGCGCGTGTGACATCATCACGTTGTGCGGGCGCTGCAGGCATCCTTGTCACTGGGTTGTCATACAAAAACAGTGCCTTTTATATCCGTGAGTTATTTTGATGGAATGGCCGATGTCCAGTATTTAACTTTAACGCTAATATCGGCTGATACCATGCCGATATCATGCATCCCTACTATATAGTAGGTCTCTCTTGACAATGAGGCCTCATGACTTAATGAGACTACATGTATAAATAAAGGTTAAGTAAAAATAAAATAGGGCCATTCTATCTAATCAAAATACTCAGTGCTTTACAACAATCTGTGCCCTCGTTTACCTCCACACACACGTTTATACATCACTCTATCTCTGCAAAGACAATCAAACAAATCATTCTATAAAGACTAATTTGTGCTTTAGATCACATTCATGCATCGATGGGATACACATCGGATGCAATGAGGGCTTCAGTGTCTTGCCCAGGGACACTTCAACATGTGACTGCTGGTGGATTCGAACCTCTAACTCTCCCATTGGAGGACAATCTCTCAGCCACAGTTGCCCAAGTGTATGACGGAATTTTTATTACTGAAAACAACTCAAAGCTTAAAGAACTGTGTAACACTTCAAGTGAATGCTCTATTTTTTCAACAAGTCACTTAGTCGTCTGATTGGGGGTTTTTTTTACGTCAAAGATTGTGTTGTGATGTGACCTGTGTGTGTAACATTGCAAAAATGTCCTGTTAAGTGGACTTAGTGAGGCCATACTGCGTAACAGTTTGATGCAAAAGTGATGTAAAATCCACGTCATGGTGTTTGCTCAAACATTTTTAAGGTCTGAGTTGTTTTAAGCGGCCAAAACTTTCTTAAGCTATCCCTGTTTTGAGTAGCAACTAGTTTCATCCCCGATTCTCTCAAGTGAGCTTGTTCTGCAGGTAGGACACTGACTACTCATAAACATTCCACACAGTCCTGCTTAAAACTAACTGGGAATCCACTTAGGATTCATCCCTTTACATCTAGTTTGTTTTCCCCTGGGGAATATTATGAGAGTGCATATTTTTTCTGTAAATGCATATTTATAATAACTTCTTTGTCCTGCAGCAACTGTACACAGTTTGTTCTAGTTGGTGCATTTGCGCTTTTTAGTGCGGAAGGATCTTCGTGTTCTGGTGTTTTCTGTCCGTAGAACAGTCGTTATCTATGTGGTGTCAGCCTTTTATTTTCAGTAACTGGCTCTTTAAGGGAACAGCACTCAAAAGTAACAGCTATGAGATCATCGGCTTGCGTCGTCATGGTAACAAAGGCTGTAGCAGCAATACTGAGAAATAAAATGGCTGGCGTGGTGTCGCTCTCCCTCCTCCTCCTCCTCCTCCCCCCGCTCCTCTTTCTTTTTGGTTTCAGTGAACTGGAGCAGATTGGCTGTGAACCCCCCCCCCCCCCCAATGGCCTGTAATGCCCTCTCACTTTGCTCCTTATTATATCCCTCCAACCCTCCATTCACACTCCACACATGTGAGTCAGCAGGAGTTTACTGAAAGCTTTGACTTCTTTTTCTCCCCCCACCATTCTATATATATTTTTTATTTTATTTTAACTTGCAGTTCCAGAAAGTTTAGCTGCACTGGTGGAAATCTCTCGCGAGGAAAGCTGCAGCAGGAGCGGCCTTGGATGAGGGTTTTGTCTTACAGTCAGGTGAGACACGGAGGAATGATGGTGGTTCAAGTGGCTCCTCATCCTTCACGAGTACAGCCAGCGACATATAGTAGGTGAGGAAATGAGAAAGAGGGTGAGGATGGAGATACAGCCAAACGCCCAGACTTTCCCTAGACATCATCCAAGGTCTGAATATTTTTAACATTTTCCTCTCGTTTCTCTGTGTGTGTGTGTGTGTGTGTGTTTCGATCTGTTGATATTTGCTCTCTTCTCTACCTTCTGAATGTCCTCGTTCTCTCTCCCTTGCATCCTCTCCTCCCTTCCCCTCAGCCTCAATCAGCCAGACACAGACGCATGCATGCTCATGCAGAATCGCGCGCAGCAGGCGGATGCGCACATACGCACTCTCCCGCTCTCTCTCTCTTTCCCTCTTCCTCACACACACACACACACACACACACACACATACTCACACACCCTTCCTGGAGGTGCTGGGAGCAGCTGCAGCATTAGCGTTGAAAGAGATTTGCCGTTGACTGGAGTTTGCGCCCCCCCTCCTCCTCCCTGTTAATGAATGGATGCTACGGCGATGAGCTTGGGAGCTGCTTCCGTTGGATTGCGGGAAACTGTGGATATCTGCTCTTGAATTTATTTATTTATTTCTATGCTCTCCATTCTTCTCCCCCCACCCTCTGCTGGTGTGCTGTTGTCGAAAGGACGATGGGATCTTGTGGCTGACGGGATAAAGATGGAAGTGAACGTGGCGTCTCCAGCGCTCGGCTTACTATCGAGGCTTCACTGGCCCCTGGGGTGAATGGAGCGTTTATTTCTGCTTCTTCTTTAAGCGAGCTCTTTTGTTTTACGGGGATCGGCCAAGCGCCTGTGGTGAATTGAACTATTGTCGAGGACTGGGCCTCTTAAGCTTTGCAACTGTGACCAACCATCCATCTTCTCCTGTCCTCCTCCTCCCTCCCTCCTTCTTGGTTTCTTTCTACCCATACGGAACAAGCAGATCCCAAAAGCTCCACTGAAATCTTTTCTCACCATCCTCCTTGCTTCCAATGCCCCATTTCCCTCATCTCTACCCCTGCCCCCCCACCTCTCTCCCGCTCCCTCCTCCCACATCAGAGTGGCTACGTAATGTGCCTCCCTACGCATGCAAATGGGGATGCTACAAATGGTGGCTGGGACCGATGTCGATGAAAGGGTGATGCAGCACGCAGTCACCTGCCCCTCTGCCGCCACTGCCATCGCTCCAGACCAGCCGGGGAGAGCCCAGCAGCCGAGGACAAGACCCCACAGCCCAAACGCGGTCGTTTGTAGCTCGCCTGCAGACGTAAATGAGATGTGTGGATGTGTGTGAAGGCGCACACTGGTTCCTGCCATGTCTGGTGTGTGATCGCTTCAGCGGGACGTTCTCACTGATGCGGGGGAGGCACTGAGCCTAAGGTTGGTCGACCTCCCCCTTCCCCACCTCCCTCTCTCCCCCCCCTTCCCCATTCCACCAGTTCTCCCCTTCCTCACCCCAGCTACCTTTATCCCAGTAGTCCCCGGGGAGTGAAGGCCACCTAGTATAAAAAGGGGTTCACGATGAAGAAGAACCGCAGCAGCAACCTGCGGCGGGCCTGGCCCAGCTCGGAGCTTCCCGAACGCCCACTGGATCATAATCTCTCTCGTAGTGAGAAAGACATCCGTGTGCAGAAGCAGCATCTTCCTCCTCCTCCGCATTTCTCTCCTTCCCCGCCAAGTTATCGTGCGCCAGGTGAGTGTGACATTCCAACCCCCCCCCCCCCCAAACCCACCCCCCTCCCTCCCTCCACCAGAGACTCCACCTTCTCTACGCAAGGCTGCTCCAAGTTTGGAAAGTCTTGATTTGATGTGGACAATTTGTCAAGTAGTCAATGAGAAAATGTTAATAGCACCCACCCCCCCCATCATCGTTTACTTGACCTTTCTAGTAGATTAGGTCGAATAGGTTCAGTGACAGGCGAGAGAGAGAGTTTCTTGTGATTTGCAGAAAAAGTTTTTTCTCATTTTAGATCCAAATAGACACTCGGTTGATGTGCCAGGTCTGTTTCATTGGATCTCGGTGGATTTCCTGATTTATTCGCTGATTGTACTAACATTTTATGAGAAAATGTATAATTATCAACTCTACTCATTATATAATATATATATATTCCATGTTTATGTTCATTACTTGTTGGATTGGTTTGTCTTTGAGCAAAATCTTGGATTGTGCATCCTTAATAAGAACCTCCAGGTCATCCAGACATAAAGTGACATCTTCAAAGAGCAAACCAAATTATTTTCATTATTTTTATTCTAAATATGTGTCATTCTCTATCCTATGTCTATAAATCCCATAAGATGTTGTTAAAAAATTGCAGTAACAGATTCGTTTTTTGTGCAGTTTTCCTAACAGGTCTAGCCTTTCTTGTGTTTATTTCAGAGTAAAAGCCTGTACAGGCACTTAAAGCTTAGGGGGTTTGTGATACTAAGGAAAGATAACGTCATCGCATTGCTTAACTGACCATTCAGCTGAGTGTGCTAAGAAGGCCGAGCCAGGAGTAAATTTCTGCTGAAGTTATAGAAACAGGCATCAAATGATATTAAACTTGAGTACTGTAATGATGAGAGCGACTCGTTTTTTTTTTTTTTTTTTTAGATGTCACACTGACGAAAAAAGAAAGTTAAAATAGGATAAAACGTAGAGGCTTTAACGTTGAAGATTTTTCATCTTCTCGTGTGATTCTCAGATGTAGGTCAGAGCACAGGGTCACTACAGCACAGATGCTGCAGCGCTGCATTCACTGTGTTGCTTTACAACCATCTAGCTAGACAGATGTTGGCTCTCAGAGGGGTTTGAAGTCGAGCTTTCTGGTTGCAGGATGATCTCATCATCATCATGTCATGGCTGACAGCAAAGCCAGCTTATGGCGACTGAGAATCTCTGTGTGCCAACTCTTCACTTGACTCTAAAGCCGAATTACCTTTATTTTTATTTATTTATTTAATTCTGACACTAAATTTGATCAGCGGTTTGCACAGATTCAGGTGCTGCAGTTACGGCTGCTGCAGCAGCTGCCTCGGTTTGCTAACCTGTGAGAAGCAGCTTCAGCAGCAGCGAAAAGCTAAGGAAGCACAGAGAGGAGGGGAAGAGGCGTTCCAGGCAGCGTGCACACTGCTGCTGTTTGACCATTACATCATAGCTTCACACGCTGCGCCCACTGTTCATTCATGATCTCACACTTGTGCCTGTGCCGCCTCCTCCCTCCCCTGCAGGTGATGTGTCTCCGATCAGCATGTCGCCGATCAGTCAGTCGCAGTTCATCCCGCTGGGGGAGATCTTGTGCTTGGCCATCTCTGCTATGAACGCTGCCCACAAACCTGCCAACCAGGAGGCGTTGATGGAGCACCTCACTGCCAGCTTTCCAGGTACGCATTCTCACCTGCTTCTATAAATGGGGTTCTGCTAAACCATGTAGGACTCTTTAATAGGACAATGAAATAAAAAAACTATGCTAGAAAAAGTTCATAGAGCAATTATTAATGCATGCATGCATGCTACTGTTTTATTATATCTATTCTCTAGTGTGAAATGCTTTTTTTTTTTCACTAAATGTTCTATGCAAAACATTTTACATGTTATGATTTTAGTCCCGTCTACCATTATAGCTTGAGGTATTCCTAAGATGAACTGAATTTAAAAGCAACTGCTACAAAATGTTGTGTTTTTTAAAGTCGTTGTTAGGCCTGTCACGATAAACAATAAATCTGTTAATTGCATGATAAATTAAAATGAGGTGGATAATTTTCATTTATCAGCTTTATTGTTATTTTGTGTGTCTCTCTTTCGACTGAAGACACTGGATGGCAAAAGGCTCAACTCCGGTGCTCTTCACTGACCCCTCCCTTTCTCATTCTCTTAGCGTAAGGGGGGAGTGAACTATCGCGTCTGGTGGCCAGTCAAGGCGCATCATCTTGTACCTCTGCAGCGTTAGAGCCTCGTGAGGAGTTAGCAAGCTAAAGAAACGCTATTTTATATTGGGGGGGGGGGGGGGGGCAAAGCGAAATGGAATTAGTTTCAAAGTCGAACGCAACAGCAGCAGTGTGGGAGCACTTCGGATTCAAACCGCTGAACCCTTGCGAGCCGGTATGTCGCATTTATCGTAAAACGGTAGCAACTAAGAGCAGCAATACAACCAACTTGCACCTAAAGCACAATCATCCAAAGCAGTTTTCCCAGCTGGAATAAAAAAACTACAACCAGTAGGTCGTCTCCGTCTTCAAATTCCCAACAGTCCACCATCACTGGAGCATTTAATTGACAGACGGCGTACAAAAACCGTTCAAAATGGTGCACGCTCACAGACAGCGTAGTTCGCTCAGTCGCTAAAGATGCTGCCCTTTAATATTTTTCAGTTCCAATTTTAAGTGGTCTTTTGAAATTAAAGTTTATTGATCTTTGAGAGGATGTACTTGCATTATTATGTCATTATCATGACATTAGTTTAAAACTGTCTTCGAACAATATTATCGTTTATCGCAATAATTTCTGAGACAATTAATCGCCCAGCAAAATGTATTATCGTGACAGGCCTAGTCGTTGTGTATATATTGATATAATTATTTGGTTCTTGAATAAAACAGCAGTTCACATTTTTTTGCAGGGTGATTCTGTAGAAAGGATATGAAGAAGTGATATTGTACCTGTTGTAGAAATCTCTGAAAAACCTCAGTTTGAATAAATGGAGTTTTAATTCTGAGCAGCTTGATGGACTAACCAGCAGTTGGAGAAAAACCATGACCAAAGTAGATTGTTGCTGTCTTAAAACCACTCCATTTTCAAAACTGTCAGTGGTTTGTTCAAGTTTGGTCTTATAAACCATTACATTGCTGTCAAGTTCACATTACACAGTTGTCATGGTACAATCGTCTTTTTCTCCACTGTCTTGAGCACCTTCTGCATGGCAGATTCCAGCTCCTATACCTTCTAGCAGGAGATACAGTCTGTTTAGAGATGGCAGCAATCCAGTTGAGTTTTGGCCCCACTCAGACTGACCGTTAGTTCATCAATCCAGTCATGATTAAACTCAATTTCTCCAAACTGAGGTTGTTCAAGGCCAGTTCATACTTAAAGATATTATATGCTAAGTCATAAAAAACAGGCCAATTTTGTTGTATATGAAATTTAATTTTAAAGGTTACCCTGTCCTTAAATTAAAAGTTTGCGAGCAAAATTAGAGACCAGATGCTACTATGTTTGTTTGTTTTTTTGTTTTTTTACAGAAAGAGCCAATTTGAATGAAAATAGGTCAAACATTAAACTTACCGGTCGACCAGAAGTTTCACAAAAAGTGTTTGAATGCTGAGCTGTTTTTAAGGCGCTCCACCCCTCTTGATCGTTCATATTTATTCTTGATAGTTTTTTTTTTTTGTAACTCTATGTATGACGAATGGGAATTTGAAATACCTTCTGTCTTTCCGTCCATCTGTGCATTTTGGTCTCTTTCAACGGTTTTGCCACAGAAAAATGTATTTACAGTGCTGCTTAAATATTTGTAAACCTTTTAGAATTTTCTACATTTCTGATGATGTTCCTAAAACATCATCAGATTTTCACACAAGTCCTAAAAGTAGATAAAGAGAACCCAGTTAAACAAATGAGACAAACATATTATACTTGGCCATTTATTTATTGAGGAAAATGATCTAATATTAAATATTTGTGAGTGGTAAAAGTATGTGAACCTCTAGAATTAGCAGTTAATTGAAGGTGAAATTAGAGTCGGGTGTTTTCAATCAATGGGATGATGATCAGGTGTGAGTGGACACCCTGCTTGATTTAAAGAACAGGATCTGTCAAAGTCTGCTCTTCACAACATGTTTGTGGAAGTGGATCATGGCAGGAACAAATGAGATTTTTGAGGACCACAGAAAAATTGTTGTTGATGCTCATCAGGCTGAAAAAGGTTAAAAACATCTGTAAAGAGTTTGGACTCCACCAATCCACAGTCAGACAGATTGTGAACAAATGGAGGAAATTCAAGACCATTGTTACCCTCCCCAGGAGTGGTGGACCAACAAAGATCACTTCAAGAGCAAGGTGTGTAATAGTCTGCGAGGTCTCAAAGGACCCCCCAGTGTAACTTTTAAGCACCTGAAGGTCTTTCTCATATTGACTGTTAATGGTCATGAGTCCACCATCAGGAGAACATTGAACAACAATGGTGTGCATGGCAGGATTGAAGGAGGAAGCCACTGCTCTCCAAGAAGAACATTGCTGCTCGTCTGCAGTTTGTTAAAGATCACGTGGACAAACCAAAAGACTGTTGGAAGAATGTTTTGTGGACGGATGAGACCAAAATTTAAATTTTTGGTTTAAATGAAAAGTGTTGTGTTTGGAGGAAAAACAACTCTGCATTCCTGCATAAGAACCTTATCCCATCTGTGAAACATGGTGGTGGTAGTATCATGGTTTGGGCCTATTTTGTTGCACATGGATCGCCATCATTGATGGAACAATGAATTCTGAATTATATCAGAGAATTCTAAAGGCAAATGTCAGAACACCCGTCCATGAACTGAATCTCATGAGAAGGTGGATCATGCAGCAACACAATGACTCTAAACACACAAGTCGTTCTACCAAAGAATGGTTCAAGAACAATAAAGTTCATGTTTTGGAATGGCCAAGTCAAAGTCCTGACCTTAATCCAATCCAGATGTTGTGGAAGGACCTGAAGCAGCAGTTAATGTGAGGAAACCACCAACATCCAGAGTTAAAGCTGTTCTGTACAGAGGAATTTGCTAAAATGCCCCCAAGTCATGCAGGACTGATCAACAGTTATTGGAAATGTTTAGTTGCAATTATTGCTGCACGGGGCGGGGGGGAGGTCACACCAGATAATGAAAGCAAAGGTTCACATACTTATACCACTCACAAATATGTAATATTGGAATATTTTCCTCAACAAATGAATGACCAAGTATAATACTTTAGTTTCATTTGTTTGAGTTCTCTTTATGTGCTTTTAGGACTCGTGTCAAAATCTGATGTCTTAGGTTCACAAATTTTCAAACACACACACACACATATATATATATATATATATTTATATACTGTATATATACTGTGTGTATATATATATATATATATATATATATATATATATATATATATATATATATATATA